ATTATTTGGTCTATGGAAAATACTTCACAAACTAGCATAGATTGTTCATCATACCTGTTACTCAAATCCAATGGTATATGGAACATGCATCATATACACAACATCATGGCATTTATTATGTTTTCTTAGTCATCTCATACAATGTATGGAACCAACATCATATATGAAGTCTCATGACATTCATCATGCTTATTCAATCGTCTTATATATTATATGGAATTTGCATCAGATACATAACATAGTATCTTAGATGGAAAACATCATATAATCCATCATACATCACAGGTATCAACATATCAAGCATGTTCATCATAGCATTCATACATTAACATAAATGATATCGTGTACACACACTAGCCCAAATGTCAAAATAATCGAGTAGACTTCAAACATAAAGGTGCTTGTCCCCCCTTGTTGAAAACTACTACATAACAGAATATACATATAATAGATTTGAAAGCCATTTATAAAACATTTTTTGTCACCCACAAACTCATTTCATTTACTAAGCGTTTATGGAAAAACATACTCATCATTAATCATCAAATCATGCTTTACCTTTACATGTTAAAATATTTTGAAAATGGTGTATCCACTCACTTAATCAAAGACTCAATTGAAACTCCTATTTAGTCAAATCCATGGAGTTTTCGAGCATTCCTAACATAGAATAATCATCACAATCAGTTCCTAGAATAATAATCTAGAAATATTAGTTCTAAGTATTTTAAAAATTTATTCGGTTTTTACCACAACTATTTCTCCACCTAAAGCCAATCTAGAAACTCATAAATCCTCAACTCGTAGCTTAGATAAGCTTAGATGATAAGTAAAAGCTCAAAACGTTCAAGCTTTAATCTTCAAAAAAAAACTTTTAGGCATAAAAACAACATTTTCAAAGTTTAAAAAATGAGCTTTATGGATTTTAAAGCTTAAAAATGAATCACTTTTCATCAAAGTTATAGAACTAAGCTTTAAACCATTAGAAGTGATGGTTTAAAGTAAAAAAGAGTTAAGAGGCTTTTGAAAGGAGCTTACCTAGCAAAAATACAATTGAAGGTTGCTAACCCTCGAGAAATTGGCCATATATATAGTTTTAGATGCAAAAATATTGTTTTGCCCCATTTATTTATTTGTAAACAACATCATTTATCAATAGATCGTGGACATCTATCAATAGATGACCTTCAGAACCATTTTAAAAAGCTTTCCATTTACTAACTATTGATAGATGCCATGCATTTATCGATAGATAAACTCATATATTTATAGATGGTGAACATCTATTGATAGATATTTATCAAAATCATTTATGGGTTCAAACGAAGACCATCTATTGATAAATGAGGAACATCTATCAATAGATAGACTCCAGTATGCAAAAATAGACTTAAAAACTTGTCCATTTGGACTCATTAGAATTTGAAACTTTGAAAACCATCTTTGAACATTAAAACATGAATTTTTCCAAGCTTAAAAACCAAATTTGAACATTCAAAACATGAATCATGCATGCTCAGCTAAGGATTTTTTTAATCTAAGCTTTAATTTGGGGTGAGATTTCACAATGAGTCAATGATCAATAGAAGATTCATCACTTTAAATGAAATCCCATTGTACCTTTATAAGTAATAACTCATGGAATAAGCCTAGGCAAGTCAAAATGTTGAAAAATAGTTTGTCATAGTCTCATGATGAGTTCAATTACTAGGATTAAGAACTAAAATGGAAAACACAAAATTAGATTAGATATTACACAATGCTCTAAGTCTTGTCAAGATATTACATTATGATGGGATATTAATGGCACTGCAAGAATGTGGATTGAATGGTTGAGTCAAACTAGTATGACTCTTCTTAACTTTTGGATAGTCATAATTCTTTGTCAGATGTCAATTTGGACTAATAAATATGATTTAATCAATTGAGAATTGATAATGAGTGTTAAGTAGTTTGATTCATCTAGTCCTAGTTTGGCTTAGATTGTTGTTAATATTATTGCCAACATGTTAAAACCTAACGGGTCACACACATTTAAGAATGTCAATTGAACGGTAAAAACTGGTTAATTAATTTAGACTTAATTAAATTGTAGGAACTTAATTGAAAAGTTTAATTAGTCTTGATGCAATTGTGCAATTAAGAATAAAGGTTATGCATAATCCTATGAGGTTTAGGATTAATTAATTACCTATAAATTCAAGGCTTATTATGCACTTTGAGTGGCACATCCAACACTACTGAACTACGAGAAATCATCCACAAAATCCTAAAATGCTAGTGAGAGAAAAATTGGAAGAAGGTCTTATCCCTACGAATCATCCTAGTTATCCACATAACCTTGTGAGCTAACAATCATCAATCTCAACCAATAAGGGTATTTTTTTTCTTCTTTTGTTGAATATGACTGGTGCATTATTGTCCATTAATTGAGGTTTAAACATTAATGGTCGTTTGAAACCCTGTGGATCAATTAAGAAGAGGAAACCATGTAGATCGCAATTTTCTTAGAGACTCGGTGCTCTTGCCATCAATTGGTGTACCTTGGTGTTATTGGTTGTGTTCTGGTTTCATTTGGTAAAAAGAAAGTATTGATTGCCTTAACCTTAGCTAGCATTAGGCTGTGCAAGCATAAACAACCCCATTCTCCATTAAAGTTATTCATAATTGTCATTTGTGTGGATCACCATTAAAGGTTAGACACTTAGACAACTTGTGGTTTCCTACAACCCAACTTATATATTATAAGTATCTCTATACATAAGGATTTTTAAGGAATAAAGAGAGCCTTTTATAACTAAAAGATGCTTAAATACTTTAAGTATCTCCATACAACAGATCCGATTGGCCTGCAAGGCATACTAACACTATCACTCATAAGAGAATTCTAGCCTTTAGACATGAAATTTATCTCTAGAAGAGAATGTCTTTTAAATCTTAACAAGAAAGAGAGAATATGAGAAGCTGTCCTTATGCATCAATAATAAAAGTCTCATATATGTCATACTATGTACTAGGTTGGGTATTTGTTATGTAGTTGGCATTGTAAGTAGAGACCAATCTAATCCAAGAGTCCCAAACATTTGACAACAACAAAATACATACAAAAATATCTAAATTGAACTAAGCACTATTGTTTTTTTTCTTTTGAAAAGTATAATAGTATTCATTAATCAAAAGGAACAAAGAAGAACAAAGTTAATATCTTCTTGCCCATAATAATCAGAGCTTGTAGCAAAACAAAAAAAATCTACAGGAAAGAAAAAACTATAGATATGGATTAGTGTTTATTAGGGAATATTTAGTTGTAATAGGTTATATAAATTCAGACTATCATCAGATGCGGATGTTAGAAAATCAACATTTGCATTTGTTTTCATTTTGGATAAGGAAGCGATATGTTGAAGAAGTTGCAAGCAAGCTAGTACTTGGGTTCCACGATCGAAACAAAGTATGTTACTACAAGTAAAAGTATAAAGGAAGCTGCATGGATTCGATAATATGTATGGGAGTGTGGAGTTGCTTCCTTAATATTCTCGTATTACTCGTTATTGCGATAATAATGGAGTTGTGATATATGTTGTGGGGTAAAAAGCTCATCATAAAACAAAGCACATAAAGCGTAAATTCCACTTCATTTGTAATATTATACATAGAGGGGATGCCACAATAGTAAAGATTGCTTTAGCAAAAAATGTGATAGATCCATTTACTATATCTTTGTTTCAAAAGATGCATGTTTGAGAAGCACATAGAATCAATGGATGTGAAATATGTGTATGATTGGTTTTAAAAGCAAGTGAGAGATTGCTACAAATATGCCTTTAAAAACTAATTATTTTATATGTTTATTAGATAAGTAAATTGCTACACTAATTATTTTTTGACATATATTATATCTACTGGGTGTTTTAATCACTTGTGACATATATGATACGATCCTATGTTATTTTGTGACATTGTAGGGAAAACCATACTAATTGTTAATGAACTATTAAGCAAGGAGTTACATCTCTTCAATTCCATGATTATCAAAATTATTGTAAGCTATAAATGTGATAAAGTATTTAAAACCTACACTTGTTATACCTCTATCAAAAGATAAAGTGTTTTAATTCCACTAGTTGGGTAGTGACATTAAAGCAAATAAGTGGTGTATGAGATATATACATTAAACAGGATATCTATATTACAATTTATTATAATTTATTTAATGTCCTTAAACTTGAGAGATCAATATAATTTATTTAGTTTCTATGTAATTTTGATGTTGCCAATTGGTGATGCTAAATTTAAAGGCTATACCTTAATACGTTGAGTTATGAACATGCTAAATAAATTATATTATATACTCATTAAAGAATTAACCATTCTCTATTGAAAAAGATATTCAGGGAATTTTCATAACAATGCTGAATTAAAGAAATCTTATCGATGTGTTTTCCAAAATTATTTTAGAATTATATTATATATATCAATATTATATATATATATTTAGAAAGAAAAATATTTTTCCAAAGTCAAACAAGATTGAAAATAAGGAATTGATATTGCATTGCTTGGAGGTGATAGTGAAAATTATTTGTCCATAGAGCACATGAGGAATATGGCATGTTGAAAGGACTAATTAGAAAACATTATAATGAAAGTGATCTCATTGATAATTCTTTTCTCTGTAGAGGTCAATTGCAATGTTTTGATGAACATTATTACAACTAGTGGGTAAATAAAGTTCTTCATTAATTTAAAAATCTAAAATAATGAAATTAGATTATAAGAAATTCCAAATAACATATTAGTCTTAAGAAATTTGATTATAAGAAATTCTAAATATTACATTCCCCTTTTAACGCATGGACATAGTTATTTTTGTCATATTAACGGAGAAGCTGTTGGCAAAAGAATCCTTACACTCTTCTCCAAAGTATAGATGGAAGCAAGCAATATTTTTTGTCGTGTTTTTGGATGAAAAGCATCAAAACAAAAGGTATACCACTATCTTGAGCCAACAGCAAAGGAGATTCAATGCCAAATTAACAAATTGCATTCTGTTTGTAAGGAACACATTTTCAGTTCACTTGGATATATTCCACATATTTACTAGCTTAAAACCTCAACCATATCGAACAACATAAAGGAACACAAACTTTTTCACTTATCAAACACTAAGATGGCAATGGATTATAGTAACAAACTTCACAGAATTAAAACAGCACAGCCAATCCTTCAAGCTGGTTTCCTCACCACAAGGACAGGGCACTTGGCATTGTGAACACAGTGATTACTGACACTTCCCAAAAAAGCCCTGTTCCAACAAAATTTTTTGACAAGTATTCCAAGACATTCCCGCATCAGTCTGCAACCCTTTATATAATAAGAAAGTATGTTAAATCAATGTTGTTAACACTGCGGACTAACCTCTGTAGAGCTCCTCGACCATGGCTTCCCAATATAAGCAACTGAATTTTGAGCTTTTCCACCGCCTCACATATTTTGTCTTTAGGATCTCCGATTTCTGTCATAGTCTCCGCATCAACCTGTAGCAGGACCAAACAAAAACTTTACCCTTTGTGATATGAAGGAGATTTATACGAGCCAACTGTGAAAGGGTTGAATTGACATGTTTAAGGAATATCATCTTAACCTTTAAATTAGAAATGAATTATAAAGAGAAAAAGCATTCAGATGCCAAATGAATTATACCCCATGCGTGGCGCAGATGTCCTTAGCTTTCTCCAGCAAAGCTAAAGTGAGCTTCTTTTGATTTTCTTGCACGGTGGTTATCAAATCCAGAGCTGTGACTCATCACAGATTAATTTTGTGATCTAAGATCGATCAAATTACAACAGAAATTTTGATTTTGAATAGAACGTAGCAACAAAGAGAGAGAACCAGAAAGAAAAAGGAAAGAAGCAAAACATACGAGCAGCACCGTAGGTGGAAGCAGAAAGGTAAGCAAAATTAGGAAGAGGCTGCGCGGTAAAGATGAAGAGCTGAGAAGCAGAGAGGGTGTCGCCAAGGTTTTCGAGAGCCCATTGAAGAGCATGGTGGCTGCACTCGCTTTCGTCTACTGCCACCATCACTTTCTTCTTCATCTTGTTTTCTTCCATTATCAATTGATTTTGTTATTTTGATTCAAGCTACACTATCCACTCAGATCCTCACAATTGTATTCGGTTGTGGCTTTCCTGAGTTTCCGCCGTGACGGTGTTTTCTTTGTTTTATATACTTATTTCTAGAAGTAGATGATGGCTAGCCCAATCGTCTCTTTTTAATGTTGGGGAGATGGATTGTAATCAAGTGATGCACGGAGCAGGGTGGTGCATTAGCATGGGACCATGAGATGAGGAGGAAGGTTGAAGTCTATTTATTTAAAAGGAAATCATTTGTTTTGAGAAAGTTTGTCAAAGTATGTGACATAGGCTAAGCTACCGTGGGCTATGCTCCTACTCTAGCTTTGCAGGTCCAATCTGATTTAGGTTTGGTGAAGACATGAACTTAGATTTGGATTCTAACTCAAAATCTTTTTTATATATATTTAATAATAAACACTGTAATAGAAATAAAAAGATTAGATTGCGTGAATGATGTGAACATCAAATATATATATTTAATAAAAAATTAAATATTTAATTAGTTTAAGTTAGACTAGATTAAAGATTAAATTTAAGTTTTTTTAGTTACTTTATTAGTTTAGTTTAATTTATATTTAAATGTTTATTTTAAGTTAATAATATTAGTTCTATGTTATTTATATTTATTTTTATATATTTTGTAAGAGTATGATAAAAAATAATTTTAATTGGTGAAGAAAGGTTCATAACAGATTGATGCTCTGTTTGTATATGTTTTGGTTTTTCGAGCATATCTCTCACTACAAAAATCTAAATGACATGATTTTGGACCATTAGAAAGTAAAGAAGTAATACTACAAAGTTGATGTTTATCAATTTACCTAGTTCTGATCGAAAAGTGATCGAAATATTTGTCGAAGTGAAAGTACTGCACCAAAAGAATAAAATTGAGATAAAACCTTTGAGAGCCACAACTCTAGGAAATGCAAGCTGCGGTGATCGTCGTATTTTTAAAAAAATAACAGGCTTATCAGATTTTGAAAGCTAGCGTTTTTAGAGGCTATTCAAGGGGCCTTTTTTAGAGGTTTCTAGGAGGTGGTAACAAGCAATTTCTCTAGATAAAAAAAAAGCCAAAAACAAAGTAAGAAAGCAAGAGAATTAAAGGGAGAATCAAGACTACAAAGCTCCAACTATTAGTTTTCTCTTTCTACATTTGTGTTTTTCTTATTTTCTTTGATTTGGATTAATGGCTAATTTTTTTTGGATGAAGTTTTTATTAAATATTATGGACTAAACTATTTTTCATGATTGCAATTAAATTCATATGTAATCTAAATTTTTAATCTCTTTCTTGCTTAGCTTTAATGGAATTGAATTGTGCATTCCAATTTGTTCTTAATGTTTTTTAATTGATTGGCCACTAATTAAATTGATTTAGGAACCTAAACAAACTTAGGAAAGAAAGCTTAGTGTAGACTAAAATTGGGATAGCATATGATTGTATTAATTGATTTGTATATAAGATAGGGATATTTCTATAGGCTATATGTAGTTAGATTAAAGCTTGAACTTAATGAGTCTATTTTAGTTTCAATTCACATAGGGATAGAGTGTTTTGATTAAAATAAATATTTTTATAAGACGAGTCGAAAGACTCTTATAAATAATTGATGATTTTAGGTTAGCAATTCAACCATTGAAGTAAGTTAAGAAAGAGATGTAAGATTTAGATTAAGTGTGAAGAGAGGTAAGATTTAGATGAAGTGTGAGGGATATTGTAATCCTAAGCTTGTTTGATTTAATTTTTACTCAAGTTATTATTTCTTTAATTTTTTTTAATTTAAATTTTGATTAATTAATTTTAGTCAATTAATTTAATTATTTGATTTTAATTGTTTGGATAAGATTAAATTGTTCTAATGTTAATACTTAGTAAAATTTTAAATCAATTCTCTATGAGATCGATACTCTGCTTACTTACATATTATTTATTCGATACATACACTTGCGTAATAGAATTTTAACTAACAATGAACTATAATTGATAACTCTATTATATAAAGTTATCTTTCCATATTTTGAGTGATAAAATGACTAAATCGTTGAGTTTGGGCAGAGTTTTAAGTAATTTTTTTCATTTTTCTTTAATTAGTTAATGCACGATTGAAGTAGTTTACTTCAAGTTATTTTAGTTCATTTTTATTGTAAAAATACCTATTTTTAGCTATGGTTGATTTAGTTCTTATATTTTTAAGGTCCTCAAAAGAGAATGGGTCAAATGGCAAGGAATTGTACAAATTGGCAAAGTGCAGACTTCATCGAGCATGTTGCGACATTTCAAACATAAATCAAGCTATAAAAGTCCAATTAATGTGATTCGTAGACCATTGAAAAAGCTAAGAGGAATGACTTCCACTTTTTTTTTATCACTTCACCCAATTCTAATCAAAACATGGTCAAAATTACATTAGAAGAAGCTGAACCATAGTAGTTCTGCACTAGGCAGCTTAAAGAGCCAAGAATACATATCCCCCACACAAGTCAGTAAGTTAGGCAACACAATGCCAAACATTCATATAACTGAGGGTGATGAATCCTCTCTTAACCACTCATTTACCTTTACATTCTTCATGGTATACCCAAAAATACACTGTTGAGGCATTTGGTTTTCTCCAGACTCGTAAAGGTGAAATCAAAATATGTCATTCTCCATACAAGATAACTTGGTGTCTCAAGTCCAAGAACTTGTTGCACGACTATCACATGAGAATATATTTCATAAATAATTGAATGAAATACCAAATAGAATTCTCATAGCAGGTCATATTTAGTGAACTTGTTCTTTGACAAGCACCCACATATTATCCTGAAGTATCCCATATACTTCAATCTATAAGATTAATTACTTATTTCCTAAATAAGTAGGCTTAGCATGTACCAATCATTGAACTTTGTCAATGCCTTGTCCTGACAATACAATGACTTAGAATAATTTTAGGAACATGCTTTGATGCATAGTGATCTCATAATTGTAACAACTTTACAATTCTCTTACAAGGCCCTTATGTTCCATTTGGTTTCATTCAATTAGTACTTAATAAATCCTTATTATTACACTAACATGAAGGAAAACCTTTATTGCATATTTTTATGTGATTAAGTATGCATTAAATAACAATATATCCCTTGATTAATCTAATTGCCACCAAAGCATATACCAACAAGATGAAAGCTCAAAAAGCTACAGAAATTTATTTCCCTCCTTAGATTTGTTCTTCTCTCACTTTTTTTGCTGTATTTATGGTGTCTTTCTTGTGGATGATGTTTGTTGAGAATATGATGAATTAAATAGCTTTTTCTAGGATTGTGGCTAATCTCTTCATGTAATTTGGATATTTTAACTCTTTTTTTTTTCTTATTCTTAATGGCTAATGTGTTGTTTATTTCAAATCTATTCTTATTGCTTCTAATTGCTTGATCAACAGTTAGATTGATTTAGGTCTCTAAATGTAACTTGACAAAGGGAGTTTAGAATAGACCAACAATTTGAATAGTATTTATTCATTTTACTTAGAGATAAGATGATTTGATTAGTACTTAGGATAGAAGTATACCTAAATACCATATCTAGTCAAATTTAAAACCTAAGCTTAGTGAATCTTTCTTAATTTATATAGACATATGAAAAATTAATTATGAGACGTATGTTTACAAGCATCTTGATAGAGACTTGTAAACAAATTTGGACTCTAGGCTAGCAACTAACCCATTGATTTAAGTATAAAAAGAGAGATTAAATTCAAATGAAAGGTTAACTAATTCTACAATCCTAAGCGTCAATTCATTGATTCTGTAGTAATTTTTAAAATTAACTCCCCAATTTAGCTTTGTTACTTTAATTTCATTTTTAATTAATTTTCAAATTAGATTTATTTGGATAAAATTTAGGTGCTCAATTTTAGTATTTAGCAAGAATTTGACACAATCCCCTATGGAGATAATACATTACTAATATATTATTTGTGCTACACGTATGCTTGCATGTATATAAAATTAGAAACACTAATCTTAATTTTAAATTTTTTATGTGAACATGAAGAGCATGGTGGTGCATTAGCATGGGACCATGAGATGAGAATGAGATGAGAAGGAAGGTTGAAGTCAATTTATTTAGAAGGAAATATTTTGTTTTAAGAAAGTTTGTCAAGGTATGGGACATAGGCTAAGCTACGAGTCTAGCTTTGCAAGTTGAATCTGATTCAGTTTTAGTTGAGACATGAATTTTAGATTTAGATTCGACTTAAATTCATTTTTGTAATATTTTAATACTAAATAGTGTAATAGAAATAAAATATTAGGTGGAGTGAAGTCTATTCTTAATTTTAAACTTTTAATATGAAAATGAGTTCACTCTAACTTGATTAATCAACCGACACTTTTAATCTTAATCAACGATCATACCAATTAAATTATATGAGCACATGATCAATAAAATAAAAAAGAAAACGAAAAAACTCATATGATTTTTTTGAGTAAATTATCTCTTCGATGTCCAAAATTTGTAATATATGTTATTTTCACCCTTAAAGTTTTGAGATATACTTTATTAATTTTTTTATTTTTAATATTTCAATAGTACGTTCCTTTCATCAGTATTTCAGTCAATTATGATTTTGAGTGTCAACAGGCCAAACCTATTAGCTGACCAAAATGATTAGTTGGAAAATTGTCAATTTACTTCTGGACATCATGGGTATTTTCCAAATTCTTTTAGATATTTATGGATTTGTCGGTTCATTGCAGGGGTATTTTTGATATTTTAAGACTTTTTTTTGGTTTATTTGAACAATTATATTTTTTTGTTTGTGTGAGAGAGATTGGGCGTGAAGTAGCTTAGATTCGGCTCCCTGTCGTTGATTTGGCCTAGTCAAGGGTCAAATGCCCCTCGCGACACCAAACAGTGTTGCAAGGGCCAAATCTGGCCCCTTGGATCGGATCCAGAGTGCTTGGTCTGGCTCCCCACGACGTATTCCGCCAAGCAAGGAGCCACCTCGGCTCCAATGACTGGAATTGCCAGAATCAGCCCTTCCACGTGGCAAGTTGGCTTTTGGCTAACAGTGACAAAAGGGGATGAAGAGAGAAGGAAAAAGAAATAAGGAAAAAACTATGAAATTTTTTAGATTAATTCAAATTATAATATTAGCATTCATTATATTTTTTACTGTAATAATTTTTATTGGTAAAATACT